TCAGCCTTTCTTATGGTCCAACTTTCACAGCCATACATTTTAACTGGGAAAACCATAGTCCTGACTATACACATTTTTGTTGGCAGGGTATGGTAGCATCATCCAAACTAAATACTGGGATTATAATCCTTACCCTAGGAACAGAAGACCAAAATTCTAGAGTACCATTGTCTAGCAATGTTTTAAAAGACTGGCAGTCCTTTAAAACATTTTCCTTAAAATATTTGGTAAATTAAAATACTTTTTGCCATTTCTCATTGCTGCCTAAAACTCATGATTGGGCTTAAGTTATTAGCCTGTAAAAACAAGTCATTCCTTTCATCTTAGAGCTATGGGGATTTGATTTTGAATGGGCCGTCCACTCATAACGTGCTGGGGACCGCTACTCTCTACCCGATGGACCTCTAGAAGCACTGTCTTTTGGAACAGCACTAGCATTAGCACCTAGACTTATATACCGCTTCATAGTGCTTTAGAGTCTAGAGTCAGCCTATTCCCCCCAACAAACTGGGTCCTCATTTTACTGACCTCGGAAGGATGGAAGGCAGTCAACTTTGAGCCGATGAGACTCGAACTGCTGAACTGCTGGCAGCTAGCAGTCAGCAAAAGTAGCCTACAGTACTGCATTCTAACCACTGAGCCACCAAATTCTAACGTTGACAGAAGCCAATATAAATCACTGCTCCGGTGTTTCCCAAGGGCAAGATAAGCACCAAAGGAAGGCCCACACTTCAATTTAATTCAATGTTTGACCAATTCAAACAGCTCTGAGCTGAGGTTCTTTAGCCACCCATTCACTCCTCCATAAAATCTCTAGTGTGACCTACACTATTATTCCTCCTCACTGAAACTAAGTTTCATTTTGACATATTGAAACCAATGATAGAAAATAAAAATGTAGCTGTTACTTGCTGTAAACCATTAAGCTTATAAAAGTTTAAATTTATGCAACTCATTGTTTTGTCGTTCAATGTTTAGAGAGATCAGAAAAAAGAAAGTAATCAATGTTTCTCTCTTTTTTCCTATGCCAGCCTTCCCAACTGTCATCCTTCAAATGTGCTGGAATTCTAGTTCCAAGCCTTTTGAGCCAATTTCAGGCCTGCTGGCTAGGAGTTTCTGGAGACGTATTCCTAAATCCAATTAGGAAAAGGCTACACAGGTATCATAGCTTCCATTTCTGCAGGATTTTGTACTTTTATATTCGGGATAAAGGAAGCCTGAACATTAATTCAACATGGTTTTTTCCCAAGATATGCACTATTCTAAAAGTATAAAGAAGAGATTGCAATATATACAGCCCTCGTTTTGAAAGCAGTGCCTGCATATACGCTACGATTCCATTTAAATGGAGAGATTAGAATGCGATACTGGGAGAACATCAACCTTTTAAAAAGTAATGCTGAAAATGAAGGATCTGTTCCCAGTATGTATATAAAACCAGTTTCCACATTCCACTGTAATCCAAAAGCATTTAAAAACAGCAGAATAAAGGGATGTGGTCTTTTTAAATGTGATCTTCTCCAACCTTCTATATTTCACTTGCAAGTGAAATATAATTCCCAGTTAGTCTGCCCAAAGATAGTTATACTCCAACTTATCTGAAGGGTTGCAGGCTGAATTTCTTAAAGTCAAACTACTGAAACTGTATTTTGAAAAGATGCCTTGCTTCTTTTTAGTCTTACTACCAAGAAAACTCTTTTATTGCCACTAGAATTAATCCTGTATATTTTAGGGGGAAAAAATCCAATGAAGGAAAACAAATAAATTGTAACTGTTTTTTTGTTTTTCATTGTTGAACAATTATGAACATTGAGACCTTGAAAATTACAAATCCTAAATCAAGAACTTACCATCTCTTTCTCGTCTTTTTTTTTAAATCACATAAAAATTAAAGGGACTCACGGGTTTATCGTTTTCTGCTGGCAGTTCAAACACACATTTAAGTTTAGAATCCATGAGTTCTTCTGGTTTTGCTTCTTTCCACTACAGCACAAATAGAAGAAATAAAGTTATTAAATAAAACAATATCTGGATTCATATTAAACTACCGTGTTTCCCCAAAAATAAGACAGGGTCTTATTTTCTTTGGACATCCGAAATAAACACTTGGCCTTATTTTCGAGGAGGTCTTATTATATTTGAGATGCAGGAGGCAGCGAGCGTGGTCACCTTATGGCTGCTGCTGTGTTGCAATATTTTGGGGGAGGGATTATTTTCGGGATATTGTTTTATTTACAGGGCGGGGCATAACCTTTTCCTAGGGG